AAAATTACATCTCAATTCAAATTAAAAATTTAAATCAATGAACTAAACGAGCTCAATGTATTTAACTGTTTGAAATTTGTTTTACCGAGATGGATTTTGGATAAATATTTGGGCTAGAATGTTTTTTTTTTTTTTAATTTGAGACGCCACGTGTTTTTCAAAAGTAGATTTTATCCAGAAGCGTAGCATTGTTACCGTATCGACTAGTTACTAGTTAGTCCTTATTTTGCACCAATTTTTTAAAATAAAAAAACCTTAAATTACATCAAAATTATAAAATAAAAAAAACAATAGAGTCCAGTAAAGATTTTTGTACATTATTAAAGACTTCTATTCTTACTTCTTTTATATTTTATCAAAATTCTTTTTTTGTTCAAAAAAATTCTTTACTTTTGTTATTTACTAATTAATTAGTTAAATATAAACTCTCTCTTAACATCCAATTATCCAAAAAAGATTTAAAAAAAATACAGAACTGTCTCTTTTTTTTGAATATTTTACACATTTACTTCCAAATTTGTATGATTTTAACAATTTATCTTCTGAATTTTAATTTTAATTAATTACTCTCTCAACTTATAAACTTGTTATAATATACTCAATTTTAATAATAATTATGTTAAATTAGAGTCAAAAAGTACGTTCGACGAAAAATTTTAACATCTCGATTTAAATGTGACATAAATCTTTTAATTTTTTAACTTTTAATCTTTTAAATCTAACAAAAAATTTGAACAAATTTAATAAAATTTGGTAAAATAAGGCATATCGCAATATTTTTACAAATTTAGAGAATTCATTGCTAAAATTAAAAATTTAAGAAACAATTTACTAAATCAAGACAATTGTACTAAAAAAAACCCTTTTTTTCTTCGGTTTTTTTTTTTTTTTGGGGAAGAAATAACTTCACCCTTTATTAACCCTCTTATCTCTCGTGTCGTTGCTGGCGATTTTTGCCCTTTTTTCTGTATTATTTGTATTATCATAAGCATTATTTTTTTGAATAATTATTATGAGCATTATTATTATTTAATCGATCGCAATAATTCATCTGCTTAAAAAGGAATAAATAAAAAATAAGGCGAGAATCTTCGTCGATTAAATATTTCTATTGGCAAAGTTGAAATTTTTGGATAAAAAAAAAAATCAGCAAAACATGTCGGAGAATCTTGGCTCTACCTCATCCCGTTCATCGTCGTTCTTATCATCATCATCATCAGCCTTGCATTTTTCTCTTTGATTTCTCTGTAAGGTACGAAAATTCCGGTAACTTTTCCCTTTTCTCTTTTCATCTTGTTCAAATTTACGATTTTCGTGAGCGTTTGGGTTCAATCTGGAACTTATTTTTGGCTGTCTTTTACGATCTACGTTGGTTCTGAGATTCTCCTTTTAATTTTGGGCTTTGAATGATCGAAAAAGGGGACTAGGTTAATCGACCAGGAGAGGTTGGGTTATGGGATCGGCTTCTATAATGCAAAGTTTGCTAATTTGATTCACGCATGGTTCTCTTGTTTTGTTAATTGACAGAAACTCTGTGCTTTAATCAATGTTATTCTGATATGATTTTATCTTTCTGGTCATTGAACTTGTTAAATTATTTTAAGATTCTGTGTTTTTTCTTTAATTCTTGAATGCGACGACGGAGCTTTTTAAGCGATAATTTGTTAGCTTCCAAATCATGTTCATGGACGATTCACCGGGTGTCTGATTTTGGGGATGGGTTTTGTCTTCCAATTTTATGTGTAACTATTTGTAGTTGGCTTTTTTACTCTGCTTTCGCAATTGCTCGAAGAATTTGGGTGCAATGGTTCACTGGGATTAGAAAAAAATTTCTAGGTTAATCATGAGGAATTTGATGGATGTTGATCATTTGATATTTTGGTTTTGGCCATTAACGCTGTATCACAGGACAACCAATCCCATTGTGACGCTTTCTACCAAGATAGATAGAGAGAGAGAGAGATGCTAATTGTAATAGGTTAGTGTTGAAGAATAAAAGTGTGCTTATATTTTTGTCCGAATTTTGTGGGAGGGTATAATTCCCTGAGCAAAATGTTTCATGAGTTTTTGACTATGTATTAGTTTTATGTTACGTTGCATGCGGTGCTTTTATCTGTAGTTGCTACAGTTTTGTTTTTGCTGTTCAGATGATGGAGTAAAGAAGCTATTCTGATGTTTCTTTTTCTTTTGTTAATCTACAAGGTGACGGAGGAAGTATATTGTTTTCCTTGGTCAGATATTCAAATAGGAGTTTAGGACATTGTTGATACTGCTATTTCTTTTATCAAGAGGGTTTTTGTCGTGCTGCCCGCGGCTGCTATGCATGTTTATTGCTATCTGAAGGAATGGAGAATGTTGGATTTTTAACAGCTGCCATGTATATTTAGACCAAATTGTAAGATATATCCATATATGGATTTTTTTTTTTTTTTGGTATGTAGTGAGGAAAGAAGAACATTAGGCCGTGTTTGGAATTGATCCCGTTTTTGTTTTTCACGTTTTTCGAGAGAAAAAAATGAAAACGTTTCCAAAACGGCGTTTGGCGCAATAAAGACAAAAACGGAAATGAAAATGATTTTTTGGTTTAGTGTAAAATCAGAGAGAAATGAAAAATGACTTTTAGTCATTTTTCATTTTTTGTTTTCATTTTCTCCTCTCTCGAGCAGAGAGAGAGAAGAGAGACATTAATAGGTTTTTTTTACACTGAAAACAATTTCTTAATAAAACTACCAAACGCATTTTTAAAAATGATTTTTGTCTGAGATTGAAAACGTTTTCATTTTCATTTTCATACAAAAAACAAAATCATTTTGGAACGAGTTTCAAACGCTCCCTTAGTTTCGTCAATAGCTTGGATTTGTCATGTTGAATTTGATATTTGCTTGTTTCCACGACATCTTTAGTAAAATCAATAATCACAAAGGGAAGCTGTTGAACTTCATTTATGTCCTTTATTATTGGGTGTACAATGAGCTTCGTGAACTAATAGAAATTTCTGGATTTGCTATGCTTTTACACTCCTATTTCTTTTGTTTTTGTTCTAATTTAAGCTATTCACCATGTTTATAACAGAAGCTGATTGATGAAAGAATAAAATATTCATGTGTATTCTTTTCTAATATCACAAGAATTTTCAGATGTACAATTGTTTATCTGACACAAAACACAGCAAATTAGTTAGTTTCTTTTCACCATAGTTATATGACTTAAGAATTAATTTTCACTTCTGGACAGGTATGGGGTGTTCTGACATCTGGAAAGGATCATGGTTCAGTTCTTAGAAGGAATAAAGCATTTGTGTGTTGCAGTGATTAATTGTTGTGATGCTGATTTGTATAGACACCCAAAGGGTTTGGAAGATCCAGAAGCTTTAGCAGGGGAGACAGTTTGTATAGTACTTTTCTTTTTAACCTTTTAACTTCCAAATGTTAAGAAATATCGAGTGACAGAAGAGTATGTGCCTGAGTGGTTTCCAGTCCAGTCAATGTGGCTCTAAATCTGCATTTCTCTTTCCTTGCCAGTATAGTATTGTTTTCAATTATAATTTAATTCTAGAGAGGATTTTATTTTATTTTTGGCGGGCGACCATTGAAGGGATCAATCTTCTAGCTTCTATGTGAGCCAAAGGAAACATTTTTAGAGCAAAAAAGTTTTTTGTCAGTTATTTGTCCTCTTGGATGATTACGACCTATAATCAGTTTTGTACATGAGGTGTTAATTTGTTACCTCTGTGGCTTTTCTTTTCCTTGCTATGCTTGTTTGAGGACTTATTATCCTCTTTTCTTTTTATAATTCTCAGTATCAATAAAAGATCGTTTCTTGAAAAAAAAAAAAAATGTTTTGGTTTCCTACTTGCTAACCAGAACTTTACACCTGCTTGTGTTATATATAACTTCTTTCTTTGTTTATTTTTCTGACTCAATACTTTTTTACATATCATGGTGCTTGATTTCCCTCGCTACAATTGCAGTTAGTGTAAGTGAAATAGAAGCCTTGTACGAGTTGTTTAAGAAAATTAGCAGCGCAGTAATTGATGATGGACTGATCAATAAGGTAAGATGTGTTATATATAGTATATACGTGGGATCTTTTATCTGTGTTTCCCGAGTGGAAATAGTTTCATTCAAATTTCACCATCACCGTGAGAGTTAACTAATACTCTATTATTTATCCCTGTATCTGTATCAAGATTTTATGTAGCCTGCTACTTTTGGTTTGTTGTCTCACTGGCGTTTGTTATACTGACCTAAGATTTCATGTTTCAGGAGGAATTCCAACTTGCATTGTTCAAGACTAACAAAAAGGAGAGTTTATTTGCAGATCGGGTACTCTTTCTGTGTGTTAAATCTCCCCCCTAAACTGTCTTCAATGCCCACTTTTTGCTGATGCATCTTCATATGTTTTAGTAGACATTAAATGAAAATAGTGTTGCAAGGATCCCATTCCACATGTCTTCTCCACGAGACTGAACTTTTGGTATATCAATCATTGTTCCTTATTTTATGTGCCTTGTGATGTCTTTAAAACATTTGGTCCCTTCGGTAAGATGCATTTACTGAATTCACAACCACTCCAGTTTTGATAATCATCTGGTTGTTTTGGACTTTGCCTTTGGTGTTTCAGTACAATTGACATGCATGTGTTGGTTGACATGTAACCTTCATAAAGGAATCTGTGTGCATTTAGCATGCTCACCCGAGAAAATGCATATACACATCGTGGGTATTCTTTACTAAAACAGTAACGTTTGTTCTCATATGTTGTTTAAAATGTAGGTATTTGACTTGTTTGACACAAAGCATAATGGAATACTAGATTTTGAAGAGTTTGCTCGTGCTCTCTCCGTCTTTCATCCTAATGCATCAATTGATGAAAAAATTGAATGTATGTTATAGCAATTTTGCTGATAAATTTTCTTCTTTTTTTTTTTTTTGTTTTTTTTTGTTTTTACATGCTACGTTTATTTAGTGTGCTGGGACCTGGGAGAAGAGAGGGGTGTGGTTTATTGAACTTGTTCCAAGGAAAATATCTTTATTAATGGTGGAGATCCCTGAGTTTCTCTTTTCTTGCAGTTTCCTTCCAATTGTATGACCTTAAACAGCAAGGGTTCATTGAGAGACAGGAGGTGCTTTTCTTTCTTTTGCTTTTCATTTATTTTTGAGAAATAAACAAGTTTACTTTATTAAGCTTGTAAAATTATATCACAGGTGAAAAAAATGACTTTTACTTATATTTGCAATATAATTATTTTCTGTAAAACCGGTTTTTTGGGTATCTAGGCATGGTGAAGTACGACAGCTTTGTTATTATTCACTGCAAGCACCATTATATGCCTTTTTATTTTTGGTTATTTTTTTTGAAAGCCGCCCATGATTTTTGGCTATAGGAACTTTTTCCTCCGTTAAATGTAAGGATCTAGGATGATCCAGGTCAATTTGAGAACTGAGTAGCTAGGTTAGACCAGCTGGCAGCCAAACCTAACCTTATTGAAATGCAAGTACTGCTTTTGGTTTACTGTTTCGAACTCCTTAAGTTCTCTTTCTTGCAATTAAGACAGCTCGTACAAGTTTAGAAAGTTGATTCATATTCTAATTAAATCGCTTTTGGTCTACATAGATCACTCTTCTTCTTGCAAGTCTATTTTTCAGGCGTATTCATACCAAATTATGTTTTCTTATCATTGACTTTTTTCCGTATTATATTCAGGTAAAGCAAATGGTAGTAGCTACACTTGCTGAATCTGGTATGAATCTATCGGATGATGTTATAGAAAGTATTATAGACAAGGTGATTCCTTTGTCCAATTTATTTAGTTGTGTGTTCTTGATTCCATTTTGGCAATTTTTCAATTTGGGGGTTTTGCATGCATTTGCGTTTAGTTATTGGGTTAGTTGCGGGAATATTATTTATGCAATTTCATTTATGTTTTTCGTTCTTGGATATTTGATTTGAGGAACTAATTATTGGTGAACTTGTGCTCAAGAACCAAATTCGTTGACCGAGTTTCTTGTGTCCCAATTGAATGACATTACTGCGAAGAGACTGAGTGATTGAGGAATTGAGCATGTTCGTGGGGCTGTTTACTTGGAACAGGATTTTTTTAGACATTTGTTCTATTGCTAACCATGCTTAGTGCACAAGTTAGAATTGGCGACTCCTTCCAACAAATAGTGAATCACATGGTCGCAATTTTCATTGTTGGAATTTTGAGCCTTATGTTCACTTTTTTGTACTAATTAGATTCAGCATCTCCTATTAACAAATAGTTATTTGTTTGATAAAGTTCTGATATTCATGCGCACATTATATTTGTCTCAATTTTGGTTATTTTTCCAGACCTTTGAAGAAGCAGATACCAAACATGATGGGAAGATTGACAAGGAAGAATGGCGCAGCCTTGTGTTGCGACATCCCTCCCTTTTGAAGAACATGACTCTCCAATATCTTAAGTGAGTCGATGTTATCATTATTCCATGATTCGTTTATGCGGAAACATACGCTGAGCATCAAATGGCGATCTTGCTTAAATGATTAAGAAGCAAAGCTTAAATTGTTTGGTCTAGTCTGTCCATTAGAAGTAACATGCAGAAGTACATGTGCACAAACATAATGTTTGTTTCGATAAATCATGGAATGTTGTTACTTTTGAGATCTTCTTGGTACTCAACATCAGTTTTGTTTTTCTTGGACAGAGATATCACCACTACATTCCCAAGCTTTGTATTCCACTCACAGGTGGATGATACCTGAATCTCAGGCGCATCAAGTTTGATCGTATATACTGGGGAAGACTTTGCTTCGCCTATTTCCGGATAATTGTCATTTGTGTGCATAAGTTCAAGTTACTTTTGATCATCACTTGTAGATCTCCAATTACTAAAACATTATCTCTCTTTTGTTTTTGGGGATAGAGAGGGCTCTTAGCTTGAAGAACTGGGTTGCGGATGTTTGTTTGTTTGTTAATTTGATTGGGAATAAACGGGAAGATAAATCTGTTTATCTGTTTCATAATTTGCATGCCATTGTATTCTGAGGAATTATGTGTTTTTAACACAGCTTCTTGTGCTGATGAGTCACTGCCACGTCTATCCCAACTTCTCTTTTATCTTTAAAATTTCGTATTATCATTTGGCTTTCTCATTTGATTTTTGTAAAGTTAACTGTACTTTTCCTTTTTCTGCTTCTCATTTATATACACACACATATATATATACAATTATACAAATATATGTGTGTAACAGACTTGCACTGAATTGCTTGGAGTAAAGAAGCATAAGGCTGTGATTTGCATTATTTGCTAAAATGATTTATAGCAGTGTTGTTGAAACATTTGAAAACTCTGGTGTCTTTCTGAATAATATATTTCTTGAACTTGGAAATATAAAGCTCATGGAGAGGTTTGAATTAAAAAAAAAATTAAAATTTTTTTTAAAAAAAAAGCCCAACTGCTATATTTGACAGTTGAGTTTCTGTAAGCAGGTGACGGTGACTGCTGAACAACTGAGTGCAAATTAAGAACGGCATGTACAAAATTATTTCGATTATAAATTAAAAGAGGTTCGTTTGTCGTTTTATGACATTCACTGATACCGTTAAAGGTGCTTTTTCGTCGTTTCATACAGTAGCACAGCCAACGGTTTCCCAAAAATAAATAAAAAAAATAACAAAGCAGAGGGACAACAACGCCACAATGGGGTGTACGTCCCAAGGGCAAACATACGTAATTGCCCTCGATACGAAAGCATGGCTTTCAAAAAGACGTTCTGGGTATTCTCGTCAACTATCGAAAGTGGCAAAATAAGAAGGAATAAAAAAAAAGTTTTTTTTGGGTCAGAGTCTACGCAAAAAAAGCACAGGCGGGTTTAAGCACGCTGAAAAAACCTCCTTCCGGCCTCGAGGCTCTTGATTTTCTCTGCACACTCACTACCAATCCCAGGTACTGTGTCTTCTTTTCGGTTTTCTTTTGATTTGGTGTCGTTTTGTTATTTTCGCTTCTGGGTTTTTCTTCAACTTGGCGCTCTCGGATTTCTGTACAGCGTCTCTGTTTGTGTTGTGGTTGGAGGGTGAGAAAATGGAGCGAGCGTTTATTTGTTAGATTGCGTATCAAAAATGGGTTTTTATTTGTAAGGAATAAGTCACATTGCTTTGGTGTTATTTGTGTTTGGATTGGCAGTTATAGTGGCGATGGGGGATAAAGCCGGAAAAAATTTCACAATGCCCCAGAAGAAGGGTGTAAAGTCTTCCCTCAAATCTAGCTCCGGAAAGGAAGGTTTCAACTTCTCCCCGTTCATAACTTTCATTGCTTAAACATTTTGTGTATTGCATGTTGTTATTCTTCTTTTCTTTTTTTTTTTTTTTTTGGTTTATTGGGAAAAAAATTTAGGCTTTAATTTGAGTCATGGGTTTGTCTTTGCAAAGTTTGATATAGCTGAGAAATGTTATATGTAATGAATGCTTAACATTGTTACAATTTGGTCCTTGCTTTTGGTTGTCATACCAGAAATTGTCTCAGCGTGCATGTTTCATATTTATGTCTTTTTCCTTTGAGGGTTTGGTTTCTTTTTTTGAGAAAAAAAAGGGTAATTTTTTAAGCAATCTTTTTCATGATGCATTATGGATTGTAGGAACCTTGAAGGGGAAGGATGATAGCTCCGCAAAGTCAAAGAAAGGAAGAAAAGTTCAGTTTGATGCAGGTTTTCCTCGCCTTCTTCCCCATTTTGTCATGTTTTCTTTTTATTTTATGAGCTAGTACTTTTTGTTCTAAGGGGATGAAATATACTTATTGGTACTTAATGCCTTCTCTCTAAACGGGGGCTAATCATGTCGGCAGGTGTAGCTGAACCCAAATCGAATTTCTCGTCAAAATATGGTGGGAAAGGCGATACACCAACCGCATTCCCTAAAGGTTCAATGTTTTTCATCTTGTAAATTTCCCTTTGATACTTCTCTACAGTGAATGCTACCGGTTCTCGTTTATAATCTTGATGCTTTGCTTTGTGAATCATGTATCTTGGTTGTTAATTTTGTTTCTTTTCACAAATTGGTGGGGGACAAGCAGGAAAAGGGGACAGGCTTTTTAATAGCGGCAAGAGTTCTGTGCCAAAAACACCACAACCACTGGAGCTGAGAATTGAAGATGGTGAGCAAATATTGTCTTGTCTATATCATGTGTCTTTTTAAGATGTGATGCCATAATAATTTTGCGTGTTTTAGGTTCTAGATGTTTTTGTATCTTTAGAATTGGAAATCTCCTTAGGACTTAAAGGGCTTATTATTCCTTTTCTATATAAGCAGAACTTCCAAAGAATGTTAAATGCCTACTGGCCTGTGAGGCTGCTGAAATATTACAAGGAATCCAGGAGCATATGGTCTTTTTATCTAAGGATCCTACCATTAAAACCCCAGTGTAAGGAAGTTGTCTTTTTTTAGCTGGAAACTTTCAAATTATGCATTTTGTTTTTGGACAGAAGGAATGCATCATATGAAGTGCTAAAATTCTTTGTTTGTTTCTAGATCATTTGACAGAGGACTGCAGTATGCTAAAAGAGGGAGCCATTATACAAATGCCCTGTCCATACGAAAAGTTCTCGAGTATCCTCAATTTATTGTTCGTGATCTACTTGTTATTTATCATGTATACCATTTTTTTATAAAAAAATGATATATCTACTGCAACTATATTATATAGGATCTTTATGTGTTCATTTACAAACAGTATTTATCGTATTTGTTGAATGCTTAACTCGAATTTTAGGACTCTCACCCAATACGGTGTCACGGATGGTGAGGTGACTGTCTGAACCTGAACTATTTGGTACTTGGTTCCCAGAATGTATAGCCGTTATCCTGACTTCAATTTTGTGGCTGCAGATATGCATAATTGCCGATGTTTGTCCAGAAACTGCTGACGAAGTATTTGCTCTAGTCCCATCTTTGAAGGTACTCTTTTGTTAATAAGAAACAAATATTTTTTATTGAAAGCGAGGGTGGAATAATTGAACGTACTTTTACATGCGAGTGTTGCTCATTTCAGTGATTAGTTTATAGCATTTGTTGTTGATAATATTGTTTTGACTCTTAAATTTTTCTATGTAACTGTTTATTAATTGAAATATATCGTTGCTGGCTCAATATCCATGATTAGCTTCTTCTTCTTCTTCATGACTATTTTGTTTCTAAAACATATGAAAATGCTGTTTTATAATCGTTTTTTCTCTTCCAGGCTAACAAAAGCTTGCTCCGTGAACCCGTCAAGAAGGTTTTGCTTGAGCTAGCTAAGCTTAAGCAGCCAACCCCAAACAATAAAATGTAAAGATTCCCGGTAAGATATTCTGATCTAATGCCTTCTGCTCGGATTGATATTTTGCTTCCGTGCAGTATTCCTTATTTGTTGGTTTGTCATTCGTGTCAAAGGTACATTGAGGACGAAGGAGACGAAGATATGGAGGGTTCTTATGGTGAAGACTTGCATGGAAGACAGTCATTTTCGCCGCAATTGAAATTTGTACAACCTTTTTCTGTCTTCTGTTTTTGTTCCCCCGGGAATTGAAGATGCTATGTAAATGAATCCTTGCAACTCATTTGGCAGCTTATTTATTAGAATTAAATTCTCGGACAGGGAAGAAGGCCAAAGTTTACTAGTCCATGGAGAGGACTTCTTCTCCTCTTTTTTTTTTTTTTGTTTCTTTTTTTGTTTTTCCTTGGTGATAGCACTGGATGACTTTAACTTGTTCATTCCGATTACTTGATGAGACGGAAAATTCCTAACTTGTGCTACACACGCTAGGTTTAAGAAAACAAAATTGCGATCCTTGTCTCAGGCAAAACCCAAATTTTTTGTTTTTTTAAGAAAAATTGGTGGGGTACAAAAAGAAACTTCACCTGTTCTAAAGTTCTTATTTATTATTTATTTTCATTTTTTACTCTAGGCTCTCTTTTTTTTTTTTCTTGTTTAGTGCACCTCCTTTAGGCTTGCGACACCATTCTCAGGATTAAGATGTAAGCAAAGACATCGTTCGTTTATCTAATTTGAGTTTTTAATTTAAATTGAGATGTGATATTTTTTGAGAGCTTTTAACTGTAGTAGAAAATGTTAAATGTGATATTTTTTGAGAGTTTTTAACTATAAAAATCTAAAACTAAAAACTCAAATCGGTGAAATGAACGAGGCCAAAGCATGCATGTTTAGCCATTCATTACGTATGTCTGCAAGGAAGGAAAGATATTTTTACGATTAGATAGCCTAGCGTATTAGTAATGGGACGTTTGATTTATAGATTTAGAATCATAATTTATGATTATGATTTTTGTGAGAAAAAAACACTGTAGAAAATTAAAAATTATGATTCAGAATAAAAAATGAACTCTTGAAATAAACATTCCATAAGGCTCTGTTTTAAAGTGGCATATTGGCATTGAGTTTTTTCGGTTCTAAGAGGCACTTGGTGATTTGATTTCCGACAAACACCAAAATTTTTCATTAAATTAACAAGCAATCTCATACATGAGTGAACAAAGCAATAGTCGTGACCTACTAAGAAAATCAAAAGAGAAGAAAGGGAGATAAAAGTGACTTAATAAGAAAGTTTTATTAGCAAAATAATTTTTTGAAAGTTTTTATTTGTGAAATAACTACAAAATGATGAGTAAGGGTATTTTATGTAAGGGTGGTAATTCGTGTCACGTGACGTGTTTTGATCGTTTTTTTTTTAAATTTACAATCAATCCGAACGCAACTTGTGACGCGAAATTTTTTAAAAACCGCAACACGAACACGACATGACCATTTTACGAGTTGACATGATAAAACACGAAAATGACCTGTGAACCTGAATTGACAAGAAAATTATATACTTTTCTTTAGGTTTTTTTACATATTAGAAATAACTTAAAATTCATAACACACTAAAATACAATAACTTCCATCAAAATTAAGCAAATAATAGTATAAAATTTTGAGTATAACTATCATGATATCACAAGTTCATAATAAAATGTAAAATGTGTAATGAGAAATATATATATATATATATTTAGTTTTTTACGAGTTTTGTGCTATGTTCGGGTTACGTGGGTCTAAGTCGAAATTGACCCGTGTTTTTTGTGTCAATTTCAAGTCGATCAAATTCTGACTCGAACTTTTTTTTTCAATCTTAATTCATAAAATTCGTATCGTTTTTAAATCGTGTTATCGTATTATAACTCATAATAGCCTTAATTTTTTTTTTTTTGTAAATAACGACCTGATAGTTGTTCTTTGTAAAAATAATGAAAATCATTGGGTGATGGGAAGTCACTGTGTCAAATTTTTGTCAAAAGGGGAGTTAAACCGAAGAAGTCAAAAGCTAAGACGTAGGAAAATGTTGCGACGTAGTTGAGTCAGTGGTTGATTGCATTTGCGATACATATACAAACCCAAAACACAAACTATAATGTATACAATACAGACAAACCGAAAAAAAATACGAATAATAATTATATAGATTTGACGTCTCTTGACTGCTTTTTTATGCTTTCGCGTGAAAGAAATTATAAAAGAAAGAAAAGAGGCATTTGAGAGGACAACCATTAGTCCCGAAAAGCTTTCTTCAGGCTTAGTGGTGGGAACAATGAGAAATGGAGCGTACGAAGAATCCAAAGGAACTAGACCAGAAGAAGAAGAAGACGACGACGAAGAAGAAGAAGAATATGCCAGTAGTACGGACGAGGAAAAATGGAGAAAGCACTATTCTTCGAAGCAAAGAATCCTCTTGATCGGCGATGGCGACTTCTCCTTCTCCCTAAGCTTGGCCAGAACCTTCGGCTCTGCTCGAAACATGGTCGCCACTTCCCTCGATACTCTCGGTAAATATCTTAAATTTTCTAAAATTTGATTAATTGGTAACAATTTTCATCAAAACTAACACACACACACACACACATATATTGCAGAGAAGATAGGGAAGAAGTACGGAAACGGAATAAGGAACGTGATGGAGCTGGAAGATAGAGGGTGTTTGGTGTGTACGGAAGTGGACGCAAGGCAGATGAGCCAACACTTCTTCCTCAAAACTCAGAGGTTCAACAGGATCGTCTACAACTTCCCTCACGTTGGCTTTTACTACCCTGAAGATAGTTGTTGCCAGATCCAGTTAAGTCTAATTAAAATTAAAAATAATTACTGGTCTTTGTCTTTTGCTTTTGCTTCTTTTTTTTTTTTCTCTCTTTCTTTTTCTTTAAGGTCTTTGTAGGTTTATGCAATCGCTTCATGTGTGCTAGGTTTTGAATTATATCCAAACTTTTTGTTGCCATGTAGATACAATAAAAGAAAATTGTCATGATCGCTTTGCCAATAGTGATAAATAGCTTAAATCGTACTAAAATTGAGTTGTTAACGGGACGTTTGATTCATGAGTTCAGAACTATGATTCACGATTCTGATTTTTAAAATTTAAATTTTTTGTGAGAGAAAGATTCTGATTTTTAAAATTTAAATTTTTTGTGAGAGAAAAACACTATAGAGAATCAAGAACCATGATTCAGAACCAGAGGCGAATTCTTAAAACAAACATCCCATAAGCGATTGTATTGTATCTCCAGTCAAGTCTACAAAACTGAAATTAGTTGGTCTTTTTTTGTGTTTTGCTGTTTTTTTTTCCCTCTTTTCTTTCACTTTTTTATTTTTGTAGGTTTATGCAATATCCAAATTGATGGTGTCATATAAATACTAATAGAACATTGATCGCCATGTGTATCAGTAAAAGAGAATTGTCAAAGTTAAAAAAATCGTACTAATATTGAGTCAGTACGCGATTTATTTCTTAGTAACACTTTGATATATTGAAGAAAAATGGGGGTGGAATTATAGTATGGTGAGAAGAGAAATTACTTATGTCTATTGATGAAGTTTACGCGGTGGAAATAAAAGAGTAACAAGCTTTTGAGTTAAAAATTATGAATTTTCATAGAGTACATAATTTATAGCTCTTTTGTAGTTTGAATCCTTTGTTTTTCTGCCAATGCCCTTAATAAAAGTTGAAATGAAATATATGTAAATGACACAATTACAATTATCAAGCCCAAATTTTTAGTAGACACTGGTGAAGAAATTCAGCTAATATTATTCAGCAGACTATACAAATTTGAGTTTTCAATTCGTTGTTCAAGTTTACTAGTTACCATTTTGTCTTTGTGAAGACGGTGGTGATGATACAAGTTTCTTGGTTGGTATTCGGAAGTGTTATTATAAGTGGTTGTGGTGGTGCTGAAACAGGATGAACAAGACATTGGTGAAGGAATTTCTGAAGAATGCAAAAAAGCTGTTGAACAAAGAGGACGGTGAGATTCACATAACGCACAAGGAGGGTGAACCTTACAACAAATGGAATCTAGAGAAGAAGGCAAAGAAGATAGGGCTGTTTTTGCATGAAATCGTTCGGTTTCGCAAGGATGACTACCCGGGCTACGACAACAAAAGAGCTCATGGTGGTAATGCTGATGCCCCCTTTCACCTTGGGCAGTGTAGTACTTACAAATTTAGGCCAAGTTAAGAATGCACCACATCTCTATGTAGTTTGCTTAAGTATATTGGCAAATAGATCATACTTGATCAAAAAGGTTGGACCTTAAGAGGCAATTCCAATACTCTATCCATCTTCTGTACTAGGTGGAACTGGAATGTATGTATTTAATGAACTCCATGAGGGCTTTGCTAATGTTTTCAATGGAAAATTTTAAGTACTAACTTATCACTTTTGGGTACTCTAAACTTCAACCTTCTTGTTTTCCTTTTCTTGTTGGGCGGTGTCATACTTGCTATTATAGCTAACTGCATTCTGTATTCAGTTTCATGTCGGACGGTTAATTAGCTTTTGAATTATCGAGTACATTTTCCTTAGAAATAGTTGCTATATCTTCCTGCTTTGAAAGTTTGTTTCTGTGACTCGTCGCTTGTTGAAAAGACAAATTTGACATGGATTGTAGAGTTGATAAAATAAGGAAAAACAAATAGGTTAATAAATAAATAAAGCAGGTTTATTGGTTGGCAATTGAAATTCTTCCGGGCTGGAAAAAAACTATTTTATGTATTCCTTCAAGATGAGCGTGGAACTTCACTTATGATTTGTATATAACTCTGTTCTTAAAATTGGCTGTTCTGACACAATTTTAACTCTACACAGGCATGCCAAAATTTCATCGATTATAACCCTTCTTTTCGAGTGTTTTAATTGTAAAGAGAATAGTTTCAAATTTACCCCAGTGTGATTGCCGCATAATGTTTTTTGTCCATGACTAGAGGAAATTTGAGTATTTTTGGCTGAGGGATCGACGGCGTGAGAGCAGAAAAGATCGGAGTAGCATTCTATATTTATTATTTGACACGTAAATTCTTCACAAATTTTTATTAAAATGAGATAGTGGACGTTAGTATAGCATCATTTCTCAACTACATAAACACTATTCATTAAACAACGTTGGACGTTACACAGAAAACCAAGTTTTCAAAGGAAAAGGATCCATCATTTTTCCTAAACGACAACAGACTTCATTAGGATTTAAGAAGCGACACGTTGTTTCATCGTTGTGTAAAAATGCTGCACCAGTTATTTCTACATGTTTCTCTTGAACATCTCCCTTTTCCTCTACCGTTTCCAAAAATCAACTTCCGTCTGTCTCATAAGATCCTTTTTGTATTTCAATTTTTTTTAAATGTGTATTCCAATTTACTGTTTCTATAAAATATAAAAAGCAACTTTGAATAGGCTTTTGGCCTTTGCTATGCTGAGATGCCACAAAAGCACTTAGATCCACCGTACTGCAATTTGCATTGGTGGTGTCAACTGTGAATATCAACCTAAATTAAGCAAAAGGAGTTCTCTGACATGTAGGTATACATCAGCATAATGCAAGTAAAAGTAGAAGTGAATTTAACAATCCTTATAAGTAAAGTACGTCCGTTACATGATACAATTCACTAAAGCATACTCCTACACTCGTCTGGTTTAATTAATCATAGAATAAATAAGTATAATCATCTATCACCTATACTTGCTTCAGAAGATGGGACACGGAAAAACCCACTTAAGAAACTTCTTTCTTCACACTAAAAATACCCCAATTCCCAATGAAAGTAAGAACCAAAAAATAACCCACCTGCTATAAGGATGAGAACTAGATGAAGTCTCACTGACACCAACAAGAAACCTACACTCCCCAACAGAAGGATCTAAGAAAGTGACCATCCCAAGCCCATTGAAATTGCAACTCCGTACATTCTGATTTTGCAGCTGATAGTAGCTGTTGAATGCATATGAAATATTTCCCTTTGCTCCAATTCCATTACACGACCCTCCATAGTTGAGAGTTGTGCAATCTGCCATGCCACAGGCAAGCTGCATATGGTTTTCGACATTTGACAAGTCCCTAGATGGGTTTGCCACACACCATCTAGATGGAAAATACTGAACATCCCTTGCGTTTTTCAATAGCCTATTGCCCAAACCAAGGTTCAACGGATATTTAGCCTGACCATCAAAGGAAAAAATCCCCCAGTGTCTTTCAAAGTTTCCAGGAAGAATGCTCTTTGCGCCTTCATCGAGTAAACTGAAAAGATAAATATCCGCAGGAGGGACGCCTGGCCTTAAGGGGGTTCCTTTGTTACCCAAAACACGATTTATGAGACCTTGGTTGAATGCCCTTGCAGCTGTGAGATTTGCGCCAATGGCTCCATCTGTAGGCCAACCCACCTCCCCAATAACAATGGGCATCTGACCATATCCAAGTTTAGTGAGGGCTGCAACAAGAGTGTCTAAATTCCCATCAAATGCATTTGTGTAAACATTGGCCCCATCTGTAACAGCATGGGTAGTTCCATCAAAGAATGCATAGTCTTGAGGGAAATCTGAGTTCCCGTATAGGCTCAGAAATGGGTAAATATTGACTACAAATGGAGACCCATTTGAGTTGAGAAATGAAACAATTTGAGTCATAATTTGCATAAGTTCAGGTCGAAATGCGCCTTGAGAAGGAAGAGACGACTCATAAGCATCAGCATTACAAGGGACAACTAACTTTATGTAGCTAGCAAGATTCACCCTGGCCAAGGACTGTTGTAGATTTAGAAGCGCAGGCACGACATAGGACTGAAATTGACCGGAGTAACTCGTAAGGAAGGGCTCATTTCCTACTGCAATATACCTGTCATTAGAAGGTAAAAGTCATTAAAGAAGAATTCCTGTTAAATGCCAAGAGAACTAGCATATATCACATCTTTAGATAGAATCGCCAGAAACAAAACTAATAACAAACTCAAAGTTAACATTAGCGTTGTTGTAAGGAAGTTTGCAACACTCTTTCCTAAAATAACCAATTCCACATGAAGCTTATTCGTGTCGCTAAACCTCTCATGCGGCTCTGATATAGCACCTCCTATGTGCTTCTCTTCATATGTCACTATATCAATGCGTTCAAATTCCTAATCAACCTGGATCATTAATCATTAATCGTTTAGTATCAAGCTCAGGTCAAGAAGACCTTTTCTGGTGGTGGTGGATAAAATTTCGATGAGAGACAGAGGACAAGAATAAGTAGAGACAACTACGTATATTATGACACGGCCATTTTTACTAATTACTATTATATTAGACACAAAGGAAGAGTCTCTCTTGACCTAATGACGAGGCGGGGGATTCTTCATATGCTATCAAGGATCAAGTTTATAATGCTAAGAAAGGATCAAGTTTAATCACGAAAACTTGGTTTAGACTTAATGCTAAGAAAGTTGACCCTGCAGACCTACTGTTATCAAGGATCAAGTTTATGGATTTGTCTATGGTCCTTTCTTTTCTTGTTAACTCCCAAAAAGGTGCACGTTATCACCAAATTTACATCTACCTTGAAAACATCTTTAACAACAAAATTTCTACCTGGGAGAATTCTTTGGTACCATATGATAAAATAACCTACTTGTAGTAGAACAAAAGTTTATAACCGTAGGATCCTCATTAAGTTCCATTAAATGTTTACTTTTTTACTACTGTAAAAAGCTCTCACATAAAGTCACATCTAAACTCGAATTAAAAACTCGAATCAACGAACTAAACGGGCCCTATAAAAAGATTATTCGCATCTATGCCCCCTTAACTATACACGAGTTCACATCTTTTCCCCGGAACTTTTCAAACTCCCACTTCACTACTCTAAACTCTAACCTTGGTTAGGACGCATGTGACCACATCTGAGACTCAACGCGTTAGATCAAGAATACTTATTTAATAACAAAATTTCTACTTTCAAGAATTCATTGGTAAGTTACGAAAAAAGAAACACCTTAGGACAGTTTTAAACCATTAGATTATCATCAAAATTCGTTAAATTGTCAATATTTTTTTTTAATTTAATATAATCCTGACGTAATCTGATGCTTTAAAACTGTCTTGTAGTGAAGTATTTTTCATATCCTAGTACCCAGAATTTTCTTCTACTTATAAAGAATCCCGCCACTTCCGCAAATTAAAGTTCAATAACTCTTGTGTGTTTCCAGATATCTAGCTACTCTTTCGGAAGTTTCAACTCTTTTTGCGTATTCCTTTCGTTCTCCTAGCTCATAAGTTAAAAAATCAGAGATCCAAATTGAGAAGAACACACGTACACTCTAAGAGAAAAGGTTTCACTTTTTACGCATAACTCCGGGCAAATCTATACGAATGCAAAAATCGTAGCACAAAACTATTAACAATATGCACCAACAGTTAAAAAAAACCATGACTTTCCATTTCCGAAACGCATCAAACAAACACCCAAACATGAAAAGAAAGAGACAGAAAAACAGAAAGAAGGAAACTTCCTCAAGAGATAGAAACAAGAAAAACAGACCTGATATCAACACCGCCTTTACCCATGTAAGCAGTGACATTCTGTCGGACCCACGAGTCAGAAGCGGCGGCGGAGGAGCTCAACGAAGCCAGCATCTCGTTTGGGACCCCAACCATAACCTGAATCCCACTCCCTATTAGAGCCCTGAGAACGACAGGGTCCGTATCAAAGATCTTCACTTTGGATATCTTGTTATCTTTCAGAAGATCCACCACCGTCGATGGCTTCAGCCTGTGTAACGAGATGGTGCCCCAGTTCACCCCCACCGCCGACTCCGCCATTGGAGCCGACGAACTCCAGAGGCCAACGGCACAAAGCAGGA